TTTATTCCCAGACTTTTGTCTCTGTTTTTAATCATTTTGTTCTATGGCTGTCCTGACAAGTGCTGATGGAGTGGTAGCATCCAAGTGCTTGCTTTCAGAGGCAAAGGTGACAACCACACTTTAATCTCTAAATCTTTCCAAATAATTCATTTTTTTCATAAATCTGATGTTCAACAGAAACAACACTATTGCACAAACTTCAAGGGAGAAAAAGAAACAAATACAGAAGTTTTTCTGGATAGTTCAACTTTTCCTGTTCATTTGTAAGTAGGGGCTTTCTGCACAAAATATGCTTTGTGCCAGCAATTATATCTTTTTATCCACAGATCAAAACCAAATTATTGATATATGAGTCATCCATTTTCACTAGTGGTAACTTTCCTAAAAAATGATTCTTCTATCATTCCACAAATATTTATCATGTCCTACCATGTGCTGACACTGTTTTGGGTATCAAAGATTTGATAATCCTTGACAAGCTAGAAAAAGCTGATGCCTCATTGAGCTTTCACTTCGGGGGAAAGAGAAACAAATAAATGGAAACAGCACATCTCCATGTGATCAGTGGTAGGACGAATATACACAGCATCCTATGAACGAGAAGGGCTGGCAGTGGGTTCACACATTAGTAGGGTGTCAGAGAGGCCTCACTAACTAGGGGGAACTGAATTGATTCCTGAATAAAAAGGAACCAGACTGGGGGAAGTGCCCTCTTTGCAGAGGGAACAGCAGGTGAAAAGGACTAAAAGAGGCAGAAAAGGACTTGGCATGTTCCAGGAATAGGGAGGAAACCAGTGCAGCCAGGCAAGTAACCATGTAGAGACACAGTCTTGCTCTGTCTCCCAGGCTGCAGTGCAGTGGCACGATCTCGGCTCACTGCAAGCTCCGCCTCCCGGGTTCACGCCATTCCACTAAAAAGGTCTTTTAGGTCACAATAAAAAATAAGGTTATATTCTGGAGTGAGGAGCCACTAGACTTGAGCAATGGAATTACATGTTCAGTTTTCC